TTGCCCTTCCCAGCCTTGCCCAGCCTTGGCCTTCCCGGCCCTGTCCTGCCCGGCCTTGTCCTGGCCTTGCCTTTCCTGGCCCCTGTCCTGCCCGGCCTTGCCCGTCCTGGCCCTGTTCTGCCCGGCTGTCTGCTGCCCTGTCCAGCCCTGCCCGGCCTCGTCCTGCCCTTCCCAGACGTCCCCTGGCTGTCGGACCGGAGGGCTCTCGCAGCCTGGGCCTCTGGAGGGCAGCCGCGGTGCCAGGAGATAGCTGGGGTGTGAAAAGGAGAGTTTTGTTTCTTTTTCGTGTCTTGGTTTTGCCCCCACGGAGTTGGGCCTGCGCTGAGGCTTTGCTCGTGTTTGTAGGTTTGCTGTGAGGTTTGGCTGTTTTCTTAACATGCAGGTGTCTGAGTGTCAGACAGTTATTGAGGACTTCATTTGACTGTCATTTTGTCCTTGCCAAAGGCTCTTCAGCTGCTCTGTCTCTATTGCTGGAAACTGTATTTGCGCTGGGAGGAAGGCAGACCTCTGGGAAATCCTTAGACACGTTGTGCTGTAGACGGTGGTAGTGTCTCTGAGAAATGCCGGGCTGCTAAGATTGAAGCCGTCTCCTTGCTGACACTGAAGCAGTGTGGCTCAGCTGCAGTGGTTTCAGATCAGGAGTCGCACGGGCTTGTTGTCTGAGGGTGAGGGGATGCTGTAATGCAAAGGCCCGGCGCTTACAGCAGGCTCTTCCGCTGCACCTCGTGGTTTGAGGCTAAGAATGCTCTTCACCTTGTGATCCTCCTTGGTTCTTCCAGCTCCCCATATGTGGATCTTCACAGATAATCAGAAGGAGCCTCTCTGTTTAAAGGTGCTTGCTAACGAAGGATAAGTAGGCAGATACATGAGGCTGGGCAACATTGTTACCAGTTGTGTGTTCACTAGATTCATTCATTGAGACAGGTAAATCGCAGCTTTAGCAGGAGGGGCCCTGCTGGTGGCCTTGCAGAGGTTTAAGATGACCAGCAGAGAAGCGATAGTGGGAAAATGCTGGGTCTGGGATTGTTGTCAAAACAGAGGGGACTAGTTGACTGCATGGGACTGAGTAGGAAGGAGCTGAGTTGCTTGGGGTTTTGCATGTGGTCAGAGGAAGCAGAAGTTTGAGACGGAAAAGATGGAAGGAGTGAAAGAGGACTGATGTGGCGGATGAGAAAAACAACTTGCGAATCTTTGTGAACGCTGAGAGGAACTTTTACACGGGGTTGGGAGAGACGGTTGTTGCAGCGTTGGAGGACAGACAAGAAGCAGAAGACCTGTGTGCAAGGCAGAGGCTGGCTTCCAGAGGTGCCAAAGAGGGAGTGTTGGCAGCATTTGATATAGTCTGAATGTGCAGGGCAAGGAAGTGGCAGGAATTAAGAGCAATCTGGAGTGACACTGATGGTGTTACTTGTGGCAAGAAAAGCCACAAGCAGGATGCGAGTCCAGCCTTGGCGTTACAAGCTTGGCTACTTATTTGTAAGCATCCAGGTTGTGAGTGGTGTCGGGGAATGTGAAGGTACTGCTGAAATCTTCACGTTTCTTCTGTGATTGCTGCCCTGTTAGGGGTCAGCAGGAGGTGGGTTTAGTCCTCCTCTTGCCCCACACACCACTTAAGATTGAAGGGAGCTGTGAAGCTGTGCTGCAGAATGCTGTTCTTTGGGTTGAAGATTTGGCTGATACTCCTTCAGCCATAGCTGACAGCTCCCCAGGTTGAATGCAGGATTTTGTCATACCTTTGGAAGTTACTGTGGAAACTCAAAAGTTCCACCTTTGGGAAGAGGAGAATGTGACTGAGTGAGCAGCTGCATGAAGTTATAACCTTGCTCTCCCTTTTCTTCCAGATACCTTCTTGAACAGCGAGATGTGGAAATTAATGTCCGTGATAAATGGGACAGTACACCTCTGTGAGTCTGCAGCCCCGAGCGCTGGCTGGGTGGGCGGGGAGGGCTTTCAGAGGTCTTTTCCTCTCTTCGCATCAGCAGCTAGGAGCACTGTTACAAAATGTTTCAGGTTCTGCTTTTTGGGAGATTTGGCTACATGTTTCTGCTGCTCTTCTCTGCGGTGCTGTGCTAATAGGTCTTTGACTCCTCATCTGACTGACGCTGTAGCAGGGCTCAGAAGAGTAGTTAATTTTGTGACCAAATTACCTGGATTAAGCAGTCTGTTCTTGGCCTAATTAGGTTTTTCTCCCCTCAAAGTCTGGCATTCTAGTCTCTTTTCAGGTGAAGGCTTGGCTTGATGAAATGCAAAGTGACTGCGGGATCACAGTCTGTCTGGCAAGGCTGTGAAAGTGCAGTCGGTAGTGAGGATGCTGGTGCTGAGGAGGGTGGTGTGAGCTTTTTACATCCCCACATAACAATTCCAAAGTGCATTTAGACCTCTGCAATTTATTTAGAGTGCAGAATAACTTCCCAAAGTAGAGGTAGGCTAACATTTGCCTGCTGTAGTGGAGGTTACAGGATTTTCCTTGTTCCTAGGACAGTGTGAGGTCCTTGTGGAAGAGAATCATGACTGAAAAAGAAAATGAAACTCATTGTAAGTAGGACTTTGGGGGTTTATTTGCTGCACATCTGTTGTGGGCACTGTTCCCTCATTACCATTGTTTGCAGCAGTCAGACTGACAACAGGAGCAAGGAGTGGTTTTGAGAATTTGATGGAGTTGCTAAGTGCCTGTGAGATGAACTCCATTTAAATGAGGATGGATTTGGCAGCTGGTGGTGCAACAGAAGATGCACCTTGGGGCCTGGGACCTTGAGATCTCCTTGCAGGACAGCAGTGCCTAGGAGTGCTGGGAACAGAGCCTGCTTAGTCCATGGCTGGGGTCAGACTTCTCTGCTATTCAGCAGCAATTCTTCAGGCCTATGAGGAGTCATCTTCTCAGCTTATCAGGGATGGCTCAGTGCTGAGTTCTGCATGCTGTGGTGTGCCCAAACACTGAATTTTGCTTCCTACTGTGTCTCTAATTTTCTTTGTCTTGTTATTATCAGGTATTATGCTTGTCTCTGTGGACATGAAGAGGTGGTACGCTATCTTCTAGCCAATGGTGAGCAAAAGTATCCTGGTTTGGGGTGTCATATCTTTCTCCATACTGGTCTGTAGAGATTGTTTATCCTTCTGGCTGTCCCTGGTGGAAACTTCTTCTGTTATAACCAACCATTTGATCAGTGATCTCGGGCTGCAGTGGGAGCCCTGGACACACTTTGATGGTCCATTTTGCAGGCCATTTGCTGCTTCAGTTTGCCACAGGGAAGCTTTCTGTGATGACTTGAGGCAGCATGACTTTCTGAAACCAGAGCTGATGTTGTGCGAGGGTGCATTGCTGTTGGGAAGATGCCGGTGTAAGAATTGTACTTATCTGAAGGACTGTCTGTGTAAAACTTTCTTGTACTCCTCTGATAGCCTTGCTTGTAAACAGGACTTAAAGGTGAAATGCAAGGGTTTTCACTGACCTCAAACAGAGCAAGACAAACTCTCCAGGCAATGTGCTTACCCTTTTGGTTCCCAGCAGCCAAGTTCCATTAGGTAGTGGTGATGTTCTGTGTTCTGGCAGAGGAATCAGAGTGCAGCATCAGATCTCAAAAGGTTTGTGTTTTCCACTGCATTCACAGTACCTTAATTAACCACTTGTGTAATTCTAAAATAGCAAAATGCAAGTGCCCTCCACGTTTCTATCAGTCTAAGCTAAAGAGGCATCTCTGGCCTTGTGCAAGGCAGAAACGCCCTTTAGGAGGAGCTGTTAAAAGTCCGATAAGTGGTTGTACTCTGTGCAGTGAGATTCTTCTTCCCAGAACACTGCTGGAGCCATGCTGAGAGGCTTATTACCAGGGTCAGTTTAAATGAGTCACTGACTTCTTCAGGAGGGGATTTTGCTGTGGGCGAACAGCTTTAGGTTATGCACATGTAAGGGGAGCTTAGTTTTTGTAAGTGTGCTCAGTAGCATAGGGGATCACACAGAAACGTCGCCAGCTGAAAGCCATACTCGTTTAACAACCATTCAGGGACATGTGAGACAGAGGTAACTGTCTGCTGACATGTACCTGTGACCGTTTTGCAGGAGCGAAATGTGAGGCAAACACTTTTGATGGGGAGCGCTGTTTGTATGGAGCTTTGAGCGATGCCATCCGACGTCTGCTGAAGGAGTACAAACAGATCACAGCAAAGTGCATGAAGAGAGACTACTATGATGTCTTCCTGCAGCGGTAAGCAGATGAGGCAGCTCTGTGTGCAGTGCATTCTGTCATCCTCCCTTAGCTGTTAACCTGGATATCCAAGCTCCCTGTGAAGGGCAGATTTGAAAGGCGGCTGATAGTACCCTGTCTCATTCACTGCACGTAGAGCTTCCTGAGGGATGTTCCTTTGTGCCCTAAGGGATGAGTTCCAGGTATGTGTGCATTTAAAATATAGCCTCCAGTGACTTGGGTACAGACTCTAGAGCCACCAGAAAGCTGATCTTTCTTGTGCAGAAGCATCAGACTGTTGTCTTTGACCGTCAAACCAAAATACAGTAGCAATCTTGGGGTTTTTCATTTTAAAGAATAAGAGTATGGGCATGTGATCATAAACAAGACTTCATCTCTGATGTGATAATTGCCTGCATTTCATGCCTGGAACATCCTTCCTCCTTCTGACAGTGGGTGACATCAAGTTGTCACCTGTTTGCTGCATGGTTAAAGCATGCACGCTGACAGTGCCCAGAGAGCAGGGAAGTTACACCTTACTTTGCAGTGGAATAATTCCTTTTGGAAGTGTGTGCTTCTGAAGGGCTTTTTGTCATCTGACAGCTTAGTAGCAGGATTAACCTTTAGAGATGTGTTATGGGACAACTAGTTCCTCTTTAAAATCTGCCCTCTGTATTCAGGGGCTCACCTGAGGCAGGAGGGTTTCATTCTCCAGTCTCCCTTTTGCACTAACGAAACTTCGAGTCATTGGAGGGAACGAGAGATCCCAGTCTAGTACGTGAAGTACCAGCCCCGTGCTGGCCTTCTAACTGGGCAGGGAGAGACTGCAGCGACCAGAGGTATTGGTTCCTTTAGACTTAATTGTACTGTGTCCCCCACTAGCTTTACTCCATTCTCTCCTTTCTCATCTTGCAATGAATTTCCCCTCTCTTTGTTCCTAACAGGTTACTGGAGCAGGGTTACCAAAGCGACATCGTTTTCATTGTTCATGGCAAGTCCTTCTGCGCCCATCGCTGCATTCTCAGCGCTCGCAGCGCCTACTTTGCGGAAATGTTTGAGACCAAATGGAAGGGGAAGAACATGATAGTGCTGAAGCACCCACTGGTGAGCAAGGCTGTGCTCCTAGCTCTTCCCTTTCTTTCCCTGTTTAAACTGAGTAAGAGAAGTGAGTAGGAAGGACAGTTTGAGGGCTAATCTCTACAATGAATAGCTGCTGGAGCTCAGAATGACCCTAGTCAAGGAGAGGGGCTTGTGGAGGCACTGTATGCAGGAAAATAGCATCTTATTTGGATAACAAAAGGCTGTAGACTGCATACTTCACCTTTGTTCCCTCTGTCATGGGCTCAAATGTATCTTAATTAATTGCAGTAGCAGGTAGCTGTTACCATCTGCCAGCTGCTTAACGAGTCCTCTGTGGGATGAGTTGAGTCTGTCTAATTCCTGGTGGACAGGTGGTCTGTAGTGAAGACATCACCTCCATAATTGTCACTAATTGAGTTCCTTTTGTTGCTTTTGCAGCAAGAACTAAATAGGCCATAAGTGCATTCCATCCATTAATCGTCAATACTCCTGTCGTATGTTTCTATAGCTTGATTGTGGCTGTGCAGAACCTCTTAGGGCAAACATACTTCCAGTTTCTCAGCACATTACTTAGTGTCTCTCCTTTCTCTTTGTGCAAGAACAGAACTTTCCTCTCAAATTAAGAAGAGCTGGAAATGTTTGTGACTGGATTTTACAGAGCCTGTATTATAACTGTGTCTTTGGAGCACCTCCATTAGGCAGGTCCTGTCCCCCGGGCACACGGATTACTATCAGTTGGTACGTTTAAAGAGCTGTGTAAGCCCGGTGGAGTGGCAGCATTACTTACTTGAGGAGCAAGGAAATTGGATGCAGTGTCTGAGTTGCTATTTAAGTGGGGCTTTTTTTAATTGTTCAGGATCATGTTTGTATCCAGGCAAGTTTCAAGCTTGTTATTAAGTTCCTGGGAATCCTAAAGGTAACTTTCTCATGTTTTATTTTAGATTAATCCAGCAGCCTTTGGCTCTCTTCTGCAGTATCTATACACAGGTAAATGACTTGCTGTGTAGTGTATGTCTGCGTGGCTGGTGGGCAGCTGTCTGTGCCTCTGCCACAGCACCGTTTGGGTGGCACAGGCTTGCAGACAGCCGTGTTTGGGTGCGTGATTTGCCAACACATCCTCTCTGCTGGCAGAAAGGGAGAATGTGAGCAATCCCCATCTATTTCACGTTGTTTGTACCTTTTGCCAGTTGTCGTCCTGCCAATAAATATACAGTCCATTAAAGAAAAAATCAGCTTGTCTTGGTTGGTTGTGTGGATGTGGAGAATGTATTTTTAACTTTAAATCTGACATCTGGAATAACAATCCCCTAAACTGGTGAAAAGCCAGGTTCCCACGTAGGACATTTTCAGTCGGGCAGACCTAAGCAGTGTATGCTGAATGATTTGACTGCTTTCTAATATTTTCTTCTGAACAGAAGTTGGTCTTAAACATTCTCTGAAAATGCCAAATGTTGTATGGTAGGCATGTTAGGTGCTGAACTGTTTCAGGCCAGAAGGTGGTGCCAGAAAATAAATTTATCTTGAAGGGTCTCCTTCCCCAATCCAGTGTTTTCAGAAATATTCCTGGCCACGTTGTCAGTGATGGTAAAAGATGCTGAGATGACAGCTCATGAGCCAGAAGACTTTTCTCATCCTAAGCCGGACAGCCAGTGGTGGCAGTCATGCATGCTGCTGTTGTGCTGCTCTTTTTCCTCTTCTGAGGGAATTAGAGATGTTTTGTAAAAGCCTATTCACTCTTTGGCCTCTTGCTGTCAGGGTAGACGCTGGAAGGTGGGAATGAATCAGATGTCAAACTGAGATTCATCAAAGTGGTGGGTGGTGGGGTACTGAGTCCTAGCTTCTTGGACTGAGTTTTAAGTGGATGCTGAAAAGTGAGGTAATGCGTCTAATTACTGAATTTCGGTACCATCGAGTCTTCAGTCCTTAATTTTTTCCATTTTGACACCTAAGTGGTGTGGGTTAAAAGAGCTGGCTGCATTTCTCTTGGCAGGTCGTCTTGATATCGACGTAGAATATGTAAATGATTGCAAGAGGTTAGCCAAGCAGTGTCGCCTGCAGGACCTCATAGATGATTTGGAGACCAAGTGTAAAAAAGTCTATGAATTTGGTAAGCTTTTTACTTGCTTAATCTTATTTTACCTAGTCTCTGCTGTGCCTGTGTGCCCTTTCAGGGAGAAGAGGAAAGTGTCATGGTGGATGTTTCATGGTGTCCTTGGGGCTTCTAGAAGATTATTCTGTTGTAGAATTCACATGTCTGCATGACAGTTTTAAGTCATGGGCTCTCTGTAGGGCAGCTGTAGTGGTTTCTGACACGCGTATTTATAATTTATATTGAATATTTTCATTCTAGTAGAGCAGCCATGGCAGCAGGACTGTGCTGTCATTGCCAGACATTCAGTGGAGCACTGTGGGGTATATTAGAAAGTGCCTTCCAGCAGAATGCTTGTTTAAATCCCTGGGGAGATAAAATACATACAATTAAAAGTCCTTTCCTGCATTTGTCTGACTCCTAACCAAAGTAAAACATTTGATAATTGGCTCAAAATGGATGCAGAGAGATATGTAACACTTTTAAAAAGCAGAAAAGTATTTCTGAAAGCATGTGTGTATTTGTAACACGTGTATGTGCCAAACCTTAAATGATGCAATCCTCTATTGAAGGGCTAACAAAAAATGTTATCCAAAGAGCTTGTGATGTAATCATGACATCAGCTTATTTCATGAAAACCAACAGATGGAATTTATCATTCATTTCCTTAGTTCAAGCTAAAGGACACGTGAAGAAGAATCAAAACAGCACAAGTAGGGCAAAACGGTGTTAGTCATTAAGTAAAAAAAAAATTATCTGCTAACAAAACCTTCAGGCTGAAAACATCTGATTCTTATTTCATGATCTGAGTTAACTCCTTTATTTCAGTCAAGTTAATTTTGGTTTGAGAAGAGAATCTGGTCTGTAGCTTTTAAGTCAATAACAAAATCTTCCTTGATCTAAGAGGTAAGGATGTAGCTATTCCACCTTTCCCTTTAGAATTATCAGTTCTGATTATTCAGCCTCCTGAAGTTGCAGGGCTTAACAGACAGAGGCAATACTTCTGGCTCAAGAAATTCCTCACCTGCAAACCCCATGGAAGATATTACTATGTGTATGTCTCCCCTCAGGCATGTGCAGTGGTTTGTTGGTGCTGGGGTACAGCTGTTCCCGTGTAGACTGGGGTGGAAGTCCTTAGGTCATGGAAGCTGTATCGTGAGTCTTACCTCAGCTGTGTAAGCACAGACGTAAGCGTGCATCTGAAGAGATGAGAAATGCACATCTTGGTTTCTTGCTTCAAGTAGTGTAAGACGTCAGTATGTGTTTTAAACTGAGATAGACTTCATTGTGGGCGCGTGCAAATTTTCCTTGAGAGCAAGGTTTGTGATGTTTGCCTTCATAGCAGAGGCACTGAACGCACAGAACCTGTGGTTATAGCTGGTCGTGGCACTGGGAGGAGGATGAGTAAGGCAGGTATCTGAGTGTGACGTCATTTTGGAAAGGTTTGGAGTTTGGTTTTTTTTGTGGTGCATTGGCTCGGTTGAAACAAAAGACTACGAAGAAGTATTGAGCAGTGGAAACAAAGGCAGCTGATGAATCGGTGGGTGACGTTCAGTGTTACACAGCTGGGCTAGACTGGGAAGAAAGACAAAATCCCCCATTCTCAACGGTAGCTGGGTTATTCCCTCCAGCTGCTTGCATTTTTTATGTTGCCCTTTTCAGAAAACTCTTCATTCCAATTTCTTGCAAGAAGATGATGGTCCCTGCTGCTTGCTTGCAGCCAGCAGTTCGTTCCTGCTCTGTCACTTTGATTTTTGTTTCTGTTAGGAGAGAGTTGCTTGTGATACCAAATACAGTGCTCTTGGGTTTGAGAGATGCGATGTCTGAAATGTCTCATGGTAGATATCATGATAGATGTGCTTCTCGGACAAACCGCTGTTTGTTCATGTCGCTATGAAAGTGCACAGATGCTTTGTGGATCCCAAGAGAAGAACTCATTCCCTTGACTACTGCTTAAAACTTGCTGGGACCATTAGCACTTACAGATCCTGATTGATTCGGCGACTGTTGTAATAGGCACTGCATGAATACAAATGATTCTTTCTGCTGTAAAGAATTTCTAATTGCACAGTGAGAAATTTCCTTCTCTCACACTGGTCTGTAAGTGGACAAAGTGCACTCGCTCTTGTTTGTGATGGTGCCAGGTCTCCTCTTATTTACCCTGGAAGTCATCTCTCTGAAGGTACTGATCGGTGCTAGCAGAGCAGCCCCTCTCCTTGCTGGTGCAGTGATGGTACCTGACTGGTAAGTTATCCTTCCCTTCCCAGTATCCTTCTGGGATATGCAGCCTGTCTGAGGTACAGAGGTGGTATACCTGAAAAGCGTCACAGTAACGTGGAGGAGGGGGTGAAGAACTCGTTTTGTGGCACATCGTGGTCTTGCTTCGCCCACGGCCCAATGGAGTCATCTGACGGAGCTCATGTAATGCTCTGCAAAATGTCAGGAAAAATGAGGTCTCCAGGTGGCGTGATTCACCTGCAAGGGGTTTGAATGGGGTGAATCATGCCTGTCAGAAATTCTTCTGAATACTGCAGCGTGGGGCTGTTTAACTCTTTTGTCCTTGAGAGTTAACTCTGCATCTCTCTGGCTCCCAACAGTGTCTCGAGCTTTCCTCACCACAGCTTTGCATTTTCCAGTGTTGCTCCGTGGTTTTTCACATGCTTCCCCATATGCCAGGGGCACTGGAATGTCTTACATGCTCCAGTCCTCACCCCAGAGCATGGTGAGCTGAAAAAAAACCTGGGGTAGGGAACTGTGGGAGGGAGGTGGCAAGAAGAGGAAAGGCTGCGGTGGCAGCCGTGCTGTGACACAATAGCTGACCTGCCAAAGGGGGTCCTGGCTTCAATGAGCTTCACCACAAATTTGGTCATAGCAAGACCACAAAAGTATGATCCTATATTTTGCTTCTCCTTTATCAGGCTGCTAAATTGTGCAGGCTGGTAGGGCAAGATAGGTCTGGAAATGGGAAATGAAGTTCCCATCTCAGTATGGTTTATTTGCTCTCCTTGTTGGTGGCAGCAATGCTTATTTCGTGTTTTCAGACATCACCGGCATGCTCAGTAATCCAGGTGTTTTGGGAATCTTTGTGCTTTGGGGTTCTACAGGTAGAGAGCAGAGGACAGACTCAGGTGCACAGAACTCGTCACCTAAACAAGAATAAACAAATCCCTTTGTTCCCTGGGGTGAAGTTAGGGTGGCACAGCTGAAATGGGACCCACGAGAGCGTGTGGCAGAGCAGAGGAGCATGGAAGCAGCTTTATTTTAACTGAATCCTTCCTGCCATGGTCTCCACTTCAGGTGACGCTGTTAAAGGTGGTGGCTGGGGAAGGTGGTGTGTGGGTGGCTCCTACAGGAATTGGGGACAGCCTAATCAATGGTCCTCAACTGTCATGGATGACAAGGATCGCAGGAAGAAAGTTGGGCTTGAAATATGCCTCTGGCAACTTTGTGTTTGCTACTGTTGGTGTTCTGTCACAAGGAATTAAGTGGAGGTTTAGGAGAGACAATACCTGCATCCCCTTCCAGACCTGCCCGCCAGCTCCGGTGAGGAGTGCTGTATGCTTACACAGAGCCATCGGGGCTTCTGCAGCAAAAAGCTAACCAGCAAGAATACTGATGTTTCCTGGAGTGTCTTTCTTTTCTCTAAATGGGAAAGAATGTTTGTGGAGGAATTTAGGCATCTCCTCTTTTGTTTGTTGTTTTTGGTTTTTTTGCTTCTTCCAGTCTCTTCCAAGCCAGGGACCTGTGTGAAAGTGCTGACGATTGAGCCCACAGGTAACTGCCGGCTGCAGGAAGATCTGGCTCTCCTAGCAGACTGCGCCCTGCCAGCCGAACTGCGGGTAGGGAGCATTTATACTTCTGGTCTCTGGGGGGCTGTGCTACGTGTTCGCATGTGTTCACTCGCATTATCTCCATTTGAGTTTAGTGCTTGCTTGTTTGCTGCTGCTGCTCCAGATGAAAGCCTTTTATTGCTTGGAAATACTGTAAAATTGTTTAATGAGGCTTTCAGCGCTGGTCCTTTCCTTTGAATTTTTCTCCAGCAGGGATCTTGGTAAACAAAACCCTTGCCATGTGGGGATTTCCTGTGGACTGTAATGGGACAAGAGTTGGCCCTCAGCTCTTTTTCCTTCTCTACCATCCTTCTTGAGAAGTGTTTTATCAGTAGGCATTGGTACCCGAAGGGACATATGGATGGAATATGGGTTGCTTGCTAGTAACTGACACCCTGGAGTGATGAGGTGCTTTCAAATCCTGAAAATATTTCCAGCAGAAATATGAGTCCCTCTGAAGCAAATTTACCTTGACTATCAATAGATTTGTTTTTCATAGTTGTCTTATTGACCCTTAGAAATAGCCCACAAGCCACACATTGATGATCACTGTGCTAAAATACCATCAGGATTATTAGTTATATGTGCATCTTTGCAGGAGAACAGGATAAATATTAGTGGTCTTCATTCTCCCTGCATCTGTCGTTTTCTGTAACATCAGCAGATTCACCTTGCTCTTATGTCTGCCCTTTCCCCCCCCTCCTCTCTTACACCAAGCACTGAATTTAATAACACAAACTCATTTTAGGTGGCTGCTGTGACCAGAGGTTGGATGACTGAGTGGTGCAGCAAAGTTATTGCCTTTTTTCTTTGTGTCCCCTGCCAGATAGACCTGCCTGGTGCTGTGTGTGTGTGTGCATGGGTAAGGTGTATTACCTGTAATAAGACAGCATGTTTTGTCCTGGCTTTTAGCCAACTTATTTCTCTGAGTGCTGTGCACTTTATAGAGAGAGTTTTTCTCCATCGAATTTCCATCTACCAATGCAGAAATCTTTCCTACGTAACCTCTCTTCCCCAAATAACTGTGAATTTAATTGTTGCTTTCAATATGCTTTTCTGTATGTTTGCTGGTTTTAAAGGGCGATGATACTATAGGTAAGCTTCAGATTTACTTCCTCAAGAATTAAGAAAAAGATTGTGGGCCCCAAAACAGTGAGATTTATATAAATTTTAAGTCACTTTACAAATAAGAAGAATGCTTTCTGTTTGATTGCTTTTGATGCCACCCTCCTGTCGGGTTAAGCTTTTCTCTCAAGGTTAGAAGCACTTCCCTTTTAATTCTTTCATGCAGAATAGGTGCTGGAAGGAAAAGAAGACACTTGGAATGGTCTAATCATCTGACAGCACTGTGAATGCCTCCGTGAGCTGTGTTTTTCTTGGGAAGCTCATAGACCAGAGCGAAGGCAGTTAGAGCAGCGTTAGACTTGTTACGGCTGTGAAAGTGAAGAGGGCATGGGCACACGCCTGCTCGTTGGAGAATTTGTTTGGCATGCATACGTGTGGGTTCTTTGTTAAACCTGATAAATTATAAAAGGTTCAATTTTTCTCTCTCTAAGTTTGTTTTTAACTTATAAAGAATATATGAACAATCTCTTCATCCTATTGCCGTTTGTATCTCATCCTCATGTTTGCAAATTGTTGCATTCTCTGAATCAGGCATCTTTGTTCTGGGGCAGAGGAGTCACACATCCTCATTCTTAGAGAGTTTGATGCCATACAAGGGTAGTATGTAGACTACGAAACCTGAAATGCAAATGGTCATCTGCAAACATTTGTGTTCTTGAGAGAAACATATTTTTTTCCAGCCCATACAGAACAAAATAGGTATTTGGCTTCAGGATAAAAGCCAGCATTTCTTGAGAGCATTTCAGGTAGTGGTCAGAATTTGGCAAGAGACATTCTGCTGCATGTCATGTAATGCCGTATTGCATGAAATTGGGATGTATACAACTTTCTGTTTGCTATAAACAAATAATTTGCATGTAATGTCTTTGATATTTGAATGATGCAGAAAACTCTATGCATCCCAATTTCATAGTTCAGTAGTATGCTCTGTGACTAAGTAATTTAACATTTCATGTCCAATCACAGCTCGTTACTAATTTTTAGAGAACTATCTATGAACTCTTAAACATGTTTATAATCTTGGTATTTTGTTTCTCCTTCCTGTTTATAGTTGAAAGCCTTTTCTCTTTCAGTGTTTGTTTTTTGAAGTGTGGTGGTTGTCTCTGTTTTGTTTTAAACTAGTAATGGCCAGAATTTTTCTGACCACAACAGCTGCTGCTTTGGTTTGTTGCAAGAAAATTTAGCAGTGACAGATATAAGTAAAATACCATCAAAAGCCAGGCAACTGTCAAAACCCACGTGAGTGTGCACTGTCTGTCTGCCTAGGTCTTCATCTTGGGTCTGCCAGGTGACCCCTGAGCTAGAGACTACAGGGCTTCCAGTGTATCAGACCGTACACACATCCTTTCCTTGGAGCTGTTTTTTCATTACCTTTTAACTGAAATCTTATTTTCAGAACCAAGATGAAATCAGACTTAAAAGGATCAGAGTTTGCCATGAAATAAATCCCCTTCTCTCCATCTGTATTGACATTTGGTGTGGCTGCAAAAAAATGTGACCATTTGTCACTTTTGGGGTAAAGCTAAATCTTGCAATGCATAGAAAGAACAGTTGGAAACAAGTAGATGGGTTCCATCCTGTGTGTCTTGGCACCCACATAGTGTGCTTGTCCATGGCAGTTATTCCTGTGCTTTGCTTTGCCCATTTGGCAGAGGCAGATTGAACTATTTACAGCATGCTTCCAATTATTATTTTTTTAATCCACTTGCATCTAGTTATGGGCTAGTAATCTTCTCTTGGATCACTAACCCCTGTATTTTCTGTTGTAATTTATTTGTAATTTTCTTGCTGAGATAATCTAGCCAAGGTACAAATTGCTGCCACTGATTTCTTTTGTATGTTTTTGCCTCCAGCAACATTTGTGTTTCAGCGCTAATAGCAAATTCATAGCGCCAGAGATGTGGTCGTGTGCATGCGATGGCTGGAGGATCCTGTGGATGTTCCAACAGTCTTATGTTATAGAGGTGTTGAGAATATTTCTGTATGGTGAACGAGTTATTGTGAATAATGCGTTTGTACCTCACGGCCTAGGCTGTTTTGTGCTTCCTGGGCAACACGCTTGACTTTGGCAGCTGTGCTTTGCCTGGAGAGGGGTGTGTGAAGGAGATTGCCTGAGTGGGGGGGTGGGAGGAACAAGCCAGTTGTCTGCAGGGAGACCCTGAAATTCCTCAAGTCCAACAAGGGAGGAGAGTAGAAGTGGTAGAGGTTTAAAAGGGGAGTAAAAGGGAAAATTCTGCAAAGCTACTTTATGCTGAACAGGAGAGACAAAGACATGAACCTGCTTTCGTAGTAGGAATTGGAAATGACCTTGTAAGCCTGAGGATCAGAGCAGGGACCAGGCAAGGCTAGAAGCAGGAGTTTGTAATTCATCAGACAAATTCCAAGACAAATAAAACTCCTGTGTCCATTCCAGAGGGATGGATTCCTTTTAAAGACTTACCTTTGGACAATGAAAGGAGAGCAAAGAAGGGATGCATGTAGGAGATGTGGAGTTTGTCTCAATTAAAATTCTTGTGCTGCAGAGAGGGGCGTCTTATCAAAGCCCGTTTCTAGATTTGTTTTACCTGTAACGTGCCTGCAAAGTTGCACCTTTGAAAGTCAGGTCAGAATTTCTAGGAGAGGACATGGAAGCTGTGGGCATAGGGTGGAGATAGCAGGAAGGCAAACAGAGCAGGCAGTTGGACCATGACTGCTGGCGTTGGTAACGGGATGCCACAGAGCGTGGCTGCAGATCCCAGACCGCCGTTCCTTCGTTGCCTTGAACCATGAGACACAGTCACCAGCAAAACAGCCGCGTGGGGAACCTGCACCCACGACTCACTGGTCTCATCTTCAGTGCTAGAGGTGCCCTTTGTGTTACCCCTGCACAAACAGCAGGTAGTGGATCAGGTGGGGGGTGTTCCTTGAGTTGCTGCATCTTTCCTGGGAGAGGAGTTCCCTGATGGGAAGGGACCCCAGGGGAGAGGTGCCGAGGAGAGGCAGTGTCACCGTGACAGCCACGCACACAGTGTGAATGTCACCGGGCTTGCTCTCCCGTGGTTAGGATCCAGACCCTGCCAAATGTTGCTGTGGACAGACAAAGAGCCTGGCAAAAGGGGCCAGATTGCCGTGTTCAGCGGTGGTGTCAGCTCTTGCCAGCTTGGTGCCTTGCCACGTCCTAGAACCTGCTTTGAGAGAGAAACCCCACTGCAGGCAACCCGAGCTTGGCTCAGCACCAGCCCAGGGCATCATCGCAGGCTGTGTCTTTGTTTAGTTTGGGAGGGAGCAGTCATCTGGCTCCTCAGGAAAGCTGAGAATGGGTTGCTTTCAGTTAGGATGGAGGCAGGCGTGTTGGAAATGGTGCGTAGGTAGTCTGCCATTGGGAGCCTCATCTTCACAGTCAGCCCAGGGTTTTCCCAGGTGTAAACTTGGGATGTAACTTTCCTGGATGAGAGGCAGTGGTAACAAACTCCTCAGCACAGGCATCTTGGGGGCATGAATTCGGAAAGCAAGAACCAGGGGGAACTTTTTCCCACAGAGATTAATTGTTTTGGTTACATGACTGTGAAAATTATTTTTTTTTTTTCAATTTAATTACCCTGTATATAGGATAAGGTGAAAATATTTGGAAGTGTCACTTTAAAATAACATAAAGCCAACAGATATTTTTGTGTGTGTGCTGTCTTTGTTGGCATGCAGGACTGGGAGGAGGTGTGTTGGTGTTAAAATAATTCACTGGAGTATTAATACTGCAATAACACTCTTTTTGGCTGCAAATCAAATGAGAAATTTAAAATGTGCTTTAGAAATGTTGGATTATTTGCGTGAGGCAGTAAGTGTAGCCAAACCATTTCAAAGTGGTGTATACATATATGTAATCTATATGTTACTGTATCTGTCTGTACACCTGCACAGTGAAGGGCTAGTCCTGAGCTTTAGTATGCTCGTGATACCAGGAGTATCTCTATCAGGAGTGGAAGGCCTTCAGTTCCTCGCAATGAAATCTGTGTCCAGAGCATCCCTGGTGCTCTGCGCTGTGCTGAGGGAAAGGATGGATTCTGGGAAGACCAAGGAGTCCAAACTTGGGACCCTGTGTGTGTTTAAGCATGAATGCTAAAGGCTGGGTGTTTTGGTTTCTCTTCCTAGGTTGGTTTTGGGGAGTTGCCGTTTGACAGCACCGACAACTTTAACAGTTGTCCCGACGTGTGTTTCCGGGTGGCAGATTACAACTTTTTGTGCCATAAGGTATGTGCCTGTGCTGTACTTTATTCTCCTCCCTTTTTGCCATGAGTCTGGTCTCCCCCAGTCATCCAGTGCTGGATACACTCTGCAGAAGCAGCGCTGCCTCGTTAGCTGGAAAACCAAAAAGTCTTATTACAGCTGGAAGCTGTATTTAAAGCCTTTAACAAAACGGCAAACCTTGTCTGTCTTGCAGAGGTGAGGAGATAAATGTATGGATACAGCTACAGCATTCACAGCTGCAGAATCTCCTACTGCTGGCTTGTGAGTTCAGTATCCGGAGAGGGGAGTGTTTGATCTGCAAGTGAACAGCAATAAGAATGGATTTTGAGATCCAGCCTCAACTCAAACTCCTGCCCTAATGCCATACTACTTACAAATCTCTTAAGTTTATGGAAGGTTTTTTGTTTGTTTTTGTTTGTTTTTTTTTTTTCTTCTGAGGGTAGAAATAGATGGATAGAAATAAGGTATGGAAAAATGTTGGAGATGCAGCTTCAAAACATAGGGAGAATCAGAGTTACAGAGTCTGAACTTCTGAAATATCTCTGAGCTGCTCTGACAGCTGGTTGGTCGTGCTGTTTGGTTTGGTGTGGTGAGATAGATGCCAGTATTTTGGTCTGTCTTCCCTCTCCAGGCATTTTTCTGTGGTCGCAGTGATTATTTCAAAGCCCTTCTTGAAGACCATTTCAGTGAGAGTGAGGAGCTGCAGACGCAGCCCAGCATCCCTGTGGTGACTCTCCACAACATCTCAGAAGATATCTTCATCCGGGTCCTCTACTACATCTACAGTGATGATACAGAGGTGAGAGCAGCCATGGAGCCTTTCCTCCTGTGCTGATTAATTCTGGACGTGTTCATAGCAGTGTTTGCCTGCAGCGTCTGGAGCAGGGTGGGGGGGGTGTGTGTGGTTTCTTAAACCCCACTGCCCTACTCTGCTATCTCACTTCTGTCTCAGGAGCACACATCCTGGGACTTGCTGTTAGCCAGGCAGGGGTCTAGTTTATGTATGTGACAATCAGGAAGCAAATCTATGGATTTGCTTTCATCCCATAACAAAAATTTAGAAGTTAGGTTGCATGTTGTATGTTGGCATGATAAATGCAGGACTGTGCAGACTTCCTCTTGGGCTCAGTGGAAGGATAAGGTGAGCAGCTGCCAGTAGATGGCAGATTGAACACGTTTGGAGATGTGGAAGGGTTGAGAGATTCTGCTTATTTACTCTTGGCATCATAGCCCACTTTGCCATTTGTAGCAAGTCATTATTTCCACTGTTATTTACTGCTGGGTTGAGCAAAGGTTCCACTGGGAGACCACCGCCTTGCTGTGCTTGGTATCGCAAACGGGAACAAAATGGTCCTAACCCACCTAGGTTTCAGCCTAATGGAAGGTGCAGCAAATCTCAGCGTTTAAGCAGCTTCCTGCTTTGGTTTTGTGGAAAATGCTTTCAGCAGCTCTAGCTACAAGATGCCAGAACACATTCTGGCATCAGGACAGTGATCGGAGACACCGCTGCACCTGACAGTGTCACTTCTCCCAAGCAGTGTTTGTGCGCTGGGTTAGGTGCCACGTACGGAGAGCGCACACAGATGTGACCTTGTTTCTGCTGATCTGTTCACCTCCGCGTAGCAGCAGGGAACATGCGGTAGGGCGAGATGTATTTAGCAGGCAGCAAGGGCAGGATTGCCATCGGTATGCCAGAGCAGATGCTTCGCATGTCTGCACTCCTGCCTCAGCCACGCACAGAAAGGGCAGGCAGAGAGGGAAAGAAGCAAGTTGGGGTTGTGACAGCACTGCAGCGTGACCCTGTTCCCTTGCACCTCTCCGGTCTGCCTGCCCTCCTCGTGATGGCTCACAGGAAGGAAGTTTCCCAAGCAGCCATCCCTTTCCTGGGGTGCCTCAGCTGTCCTGTCTGGACTTGGAGCAGGAGGACAGACCAGCAGCAGTGTGTAGGAGTTGAAAGGGTCTTGCTCATATGTTTTCTATGCACGATGGTACCATCACAGAAACTAGCCTGGATTTCAAACTGAGCAGCCATGATATATGAGCTGCTGCAGAGGGTTCATCTGTCATGAAAAACTACCAGGAAAAATGGTCAGGAAAACAGGAATATAGCTCAAGTTCCACACTTATATATGGAGTGTTCTCCCTGCCCTGGGTTTCTCCAGCTGACTGTCAGCACTCCCAATTCCACTTCTCTTTTTCCAGAGGATTTATGTCTCTTTGCCGTGTAGCAGTGACAATGCCTGCAGTTGGAGGGAAGGACAGCAAGGGTTGCAGGCAGAAAGAGCAGTTGCTGATCAGAGTTTTTGTGTGGGCTCAAGGGGAGCTTTTGAAGGAACGTTTGCCAGGTTTTTCCTTGATCAAGCAGTTGGGAGCTGCTGCCATCAATACTACTCCTTCCAACTTGTGAAGGTCCTGGAGCTTATGAAAGGACAAAGCAGCACTTGGTTAATAATCCCAAGAGCTCTGTTACCCCCTGTGGCACTGTAGCATTCATGGCATGCTTCTAATGCATCTTGCATCCTTCTGCACAGCTGTTGCAGGATGTTCTACAGCTGAGACACTCGCTGTGAGTAGTCTCTCCAAACAGGGGTGTGGACAGCTGTAGGGGAAGAAATAATCAGCCTTTCACAGTTGTCAGAGTGAGCAACTGCATGTGTAGATGTGGACAGCGGTGTTCTTGCTGCTGACCCGTTCTCAGGGCAGGGGACCATGCTGCACCAGTTACCATTCCTTAATCTCCATCAGTGTGTCTTGGTCTCTAGATGCAAGTGATCTCACCTCCTCCACAACCAGGGTGTGCTGCATCCTGCAGATCGCTGTTAAATGGATGTGGGTAACTGCACTCTTTGCACTTCACATTAGCAGGAACAGAACTGTGCAGAGAGGCTCGAGTTCCAGGTTAGTGATGCAGATGGCTGACTAAAATAGGATTTGCCCAGCCAGGGGAAATCTCCAGCATTATCTACAGTATTTTTTTTTTTTCAAATCACTTGCCAAGTACCCAGGAGGGAAATGGGAGGCTGGTTCTTTAGCTCAAGAGCCTGAAAATGTTAAAGGCCATTCACAGGGGTGTAAGCTTGAGCAACTGGTGCATGAATTTGGTTGTTTGAATGCCAGTTAAAGCTCCAGTAGTATTTGCTGTGCAGAGTGTGTTCCTTACCCAGTTGGGCCTCACCTGCACTTCATTTGGGGTGCAGTTTTCTGTCCTTGGATGTATCCCTGTGCCAGGGAAGTTGTGCTGGCTGAGTTACCAGAGCCAGGCTGAGGAAGGAACTTAAGGAGAATTTTGTACGTTTTTCACAAAATGCAAGTCCAGCAGTACAAAATGGGAAGAAGAGTCCTGGTGGGGACAAGGTACTCTGTTGTGCCAGCCTGTTCCATTTGTCTCTTTGAAGGGCTTTCAGTACTTCTGGTAAAAGCTACCTCCTTCCACTGCCACACTGAACATTTCTTAGCATCCAGCTTTCAGCTGCGCTTCAGTGTTTCAGCATTGCTTTGTGCTTAGCTCGAGGGGTTAGCTGCAGCGTGGCGAACTTCTTGCTTTGTGCTGAGCAAGCTGCCTCTGCAGCATTTTAAATTCCTCTGTGGTAACGGAGTGGAAGACCTAGCCCTGAAAGATGGAGCTCCTGTCGCTCCATAGTACTGTTAACACTTGGCTGGTAATGGGCCAAACAAAGCTTTGGGGAATCAAGAGAAGAAGTGAAGTGGGTAGGGCTGGTCAGTAATTCTCCTCTTTCAATTAATTGCCAGCTGTCCCCGGAAAATGCCTATGACGTGCTGTGCGTGGCAGACATGTACCTGCTGCCTGGGCTCAAGCGCCTGTGTGGCAGGACCTTGGCTCAGATCCTCGATGAGGACAACATTGTCAGCATCTGGAGGATCGCAAAGCTGTTCCAGCTGACCCGGCTGGAGGACCAGTGCACGGAATACATGGCAAAGATCATCGAGAAGGTACCACAAACGCTCCCCACTGAACTTTCCATGTGTGCCTGTAAATCTAACTGCACAGTGAGCCAGAGATACAACAGATTTCATGGTTGTACCTTGGGTCTGTAATAAATGGTTGCCCTCTCTGCTTTAATGTGCTTCTTGAAGATGAGCAGCGGTTAAGTAGCAAAGCACATGGTGAGTTAGGACAGAGGATGAGGAGTGTAGTGGTACCTGATGATGCTGCAGTAAGACAGATGCTGGTGGCTGTCTGGCACATCCCTGTGGACCGTGGGGTGAAAAGCCTGCCCAGAAAGTTCTGCAAACACCATGGGCAGGTGACTTTCACTGAGCTTTCAGCCCCTGGGAGCAACAATGGTGTTGCATGAATACACCAGCTGCAACCTGGAGAACCCAGTGGGCTGTGCAGGGGAGCTCTGTGCAGAAAATGTTTTTTCTGTATTTGCTGGAGGGAGTTCTTTCTGGCATATTGCTATAGAAAGGAGTAAATGATATGATCTCTACTCTCCTCCAGGATAAGAAATCTAACAGTAGGGGTTTCCACAGGGGAAATTTGGCTGTTAAACAGACAGAAGTAATGAATCTAACACTGAATATTTGTTTATGGGGCTCCATTTAAGTGTAATCCTGAGTAATTATAGCTTAAAGATTCAGGACTCATGGAGAAAGTTGTCGTACAGAAGGTTAAATTAGAATCTTGTTCTTATCCTAAGACAGATCTTTATAAAGTTCAGTTCAGTACAGTTCACATGGGAATGTAACATTTTCACCTGCAGCTTGAAAGGTGTGAAACTCTTTTTGGCATGTGAAAACACTGAAGGAAATGATTCTGGATCTGTTTTGTTCAGTGTATAGCTTGGGGATGATGAGACCCAGATTCTGGCTTCTGAAAATGGATTTGTTTTGAAAGCTGAATGAATATCCCAAGTAGGAATTGGGCAAGGTGGGGCTTTGCTTGTGTGACCCCCTTGCATTCCCTTTCTCTATCCTGAGTGGGAGTCCTCGGACCCAGCATTGGCAATGTGCCTCCCTAAGGGTGTTGGCACAAATGGAGCGGCCCCAGCTGTTCGAACATCAGCAGCTGCCAGCATCTTGTGGGAATGCACTGATGACGGCAAGAGGGAGAGATTTTGGCAGTGTGTGCAGCACAGAGCGGGGCTGAGCAACCTGCCGTGCCCAGGCACAGTTTGGGAGCGCAGACAGACGGAAGCTGCCTCTCACCCTTCAGCACACCACATGTTCCTGGGGAACTTGATGCAAAATCATTCAAGGGTGACCTGATTCTGTGAGGCTGGGTGCAGAACAGGGCAGCTGCCTTGCTGCGATCTGCTGGGTGGCTGGTGGTGCTGGGGCAGAGCGCCATGGTGGGGATAGAGTCATCTGTGGCTCCTAGTTCTGAACCGGGCACAAGCACTCGCTGTCTTGGCTGTTGCAAGACTTTTCCCAAAAGTGTCTGGCAGCATCTCCTGGTTCATACTGGGGAGCCTTTCTGGAGGCAATATTGTGTATATAAATGTGCCCCGATACCAGAACTGTGGATGTGTAGTTAGTGGGTATTACAGTGCACGGTTTGACGTGCAGACTGCTTATGGTTGTGACCATTTACTGTTAGAGTATTACTGCCTCCTTAGGATGAATGGCAGGATGCATCTCTAGGTGGTGTCTGTATAGGAAAATTTGAGTCTCCATATACCCTTAGCGTTCCCTTTTCTTCTGTGGGATCCCTCAGCAGTGGCTGAGCTCATTATCCCAACCCTTTACATCTCTTTACCGTCTTCTTGTCTCCCTAATGGTTCTCTTGTCCACCCCGTGCAGCTGGTGGAGCTGGAGGAGTTTGTCGCTGCTGTGAAGGAGAATGCGGAGGCTGTGGAGGAGCGGCAGGAGACTGACTCCATTCCTCTGGTCGATGACATCCGCTTCCACATCACCAGCAATGTGCAGACTTACAGTGCCATCGAGGAAGCCAATCAGAAACTTGAAGCTCTGGAAAACCTCCTGGCCAGTATAGGGCTTGAGTGCTGATGCGTGCAGACCCTGCCTGTGGTACGCAGCCTGCGTAGCCCCCACTGGGCTGGCTCGGAGCGTGAGAACATCTGAGTCTCTGAATGTCTCTCTTCCCCTTCTTTGTCCTCCTTCCCATCCAGTTACAGGCATGGTTTCTTTTTAATTTATTTATGTCTGGACATTTGCATGTCTGGTTTGTGTTTGGTTTTATTTTGGTTTTAGTTTCTCCTTTCAGAAGTAGCTCCCAAAGCTCAGCTCAAATCGGTAGCTGCTCCTTTGTGCAATACAGCGTGGACAGGGGACTACAAGCTGCGGGGGGTGATCAGGGAGCTGTGCGGGGGGACTTGCTACTGCCTGGTGGGAGGACCCATCCTCTTCTGTTGCCCAAAAACACACTTGTGAAACTGATTCATGCCAGGATATTTGTTGAATTGCCACCAGGAAAGGAAGAAAACTGTATTAAACTCTCCAAATAAGTATAGTGGAAGGGAGGTGGCCTTTCTCCAACTGTCAGCATTATGGGATTGGCAGAGGTGGGCAGTGCTTCCCTAACAGGGGCACAGGAGTGCTTAGCTGTGTGGAAGGCACTGTGTTCGCCTGCTATTCTAGTTCTTAGAGAAAAAAAACAAAGTGATTTCCAGGTCTTCCCTAGCTTTTCATTGCTTTGAAGTGCTCAGAATTTAAAAGCTTTGCTTTCTGAGCAGACATCTTTGGGAATACAGTAGAGACCAGAGTCCTTCTGTTCTTAGAAAGCGGTAGCTTTCAATGCATAAAACAAGGGACACCATCCCTTTTCTTCCTGACTGGGGGAGGAAACACGTTCTTCTTGGAAACAGCACTTTTCCCTTTCTTTTTGTCCATTGTGGTAAGAGCAAAACTGACTGGTGGGTCAGGGAAGAGGGGTCACAGGAAATCTTTTTGAAAAGGAAAAGGGGCCTTTTGGGTCTCTTGCAGGGCAGCTGTCTCACTTGTCGACCTTCTGGCTTTGCTCAGCCTTGAGCCTTGTAGCTTCATTGTTCTCCAGGAAATTCACTGTTTGTACTAATGAATGTTTTTGAATCTGTGTTCTGCAGTAGGTCGTGTTATCTCGTGTTGTCTCCCTAGACTCCTAATGAGGGTAATGATGTTCTTTCTCCTTGGCACCGTCAGCAGGCGATACCCCTGCGCAAAGCTCGCCTCGCCGACCAGGCTGCCCTCAGAGCTGTTCCTCTGCAGAATGGCATGTTCTGAGAGTCCCCAAGGCACAGGCCAGGCTTATTTTGCCATGCTGAGTTGGGAAAGAGAAGAAATGTTGTGTGAAGCACATTGAGAATCTTGCACAGGCGGTGGGCTGCCATCTCTAACGCATCTCATCATTTTGGTCACTTTGTGAGGCAAGAGCTTGAAAGAACCCGTGTCCCGTGTGCTTTTATTGTTGGAAGAGGGAACCGGGCACGGATCCCCGCAGCTTCGGGGCGGTGTTTTCTGTAATGGTGGTGGTGCTTCACGTGGGTAAAGAAGGGGTTTGCAGATCCAGCGTTCGGCAGGGACTTGCTTCTGGTGTGGATGTGCTGGGAGGATGGGTTTATAAGAATATATTTGCTAACCTCACCAGGTGAGAGGCTGATGCTCCCACACTGTGTGAGATCTGCAGCCTCGCAGAGCATCTGCCTGCGTCTGGCGTGCGTTGATGCTGTTTGCAGGTACGTGGGCAGGCGTTGGGCACCCCTTGCACTTGGCAGCCTGGGTTTGGGTGCAGTGAGGAGGGGGCACTGGCATTTGGCTGCTGTACTCGAGAGAAGCTGGAGTTTGGCAAAATCACACATCAGGGTTGAGTTGCACTCAACAGAAGCTGGGGACAGGGCTGATGGGGCAGGAGTGAGGTGCAGTGACATAGCTGAACCCCAGATGCTTGTGCACTTGCTCATCTGTGGTTAAATGGTTTCTCTTGCAGAAGAAATCTCTGGGGCTGTGGATGGTGGCTGCAGGGCTGTTCAAGCAGGGCGTGCTTCAGTTCTTTTGTTTCAAAGTGCTTGTGAGGAAATCCAAGTTCTTGTGGTTTGTTTTCTGCAGCTGGATTGGGGTGAGGGAAGAGCTGTCCCTGGAGGGGTGTGTTGCTGTGTGGAAGGAGGGAGCAGCAGGAGTGTGCTTCTGTTTGGAGTGGTGACATGGACAGGAGCTGTGTGTTTGTGTGATTTGTGGAGTGTACCTCCATGTCCGTCTCTCAGCTCAGTGTGGTTTTGCCAGGACACCAAAGAGCCCAGCACAGCTTGAACTGATACAGGCGCCTCAGTAGACTTGAGGGGAAGGGCTGGTGAGAAAGCTTTCATGGCAAGTCCAATATATTGTGGAGAAAGAAGGGTGAAAGCAGAACTGCCTGTTTTTGTGCTCGGTGGAGTGTCAGGCTCATGAAAGCCTGCTACAGAAACAACCGACAGCTTAACCCAGCTGGTTCAGTTCCCCGGCGTTTCTCCTCCCTACATGACTGAGGACGGCACTGAACATAAGCAGGATGTTTAGTTTATCACATCCCCTCTGCTCCTGCTGTCGAAATTCTGCATCTGACATCTCAGCAGTCAGCTTTCCGCAGCAGTGGTTGTGACAGCCCTGCACGAGGCTCGCGCGGAGCCACCGGAGAACAGAACCTGGCCTTTGCCTCCTGCTTGTCCTGCACGAGCCGCAGAAACAGGATTACCCAGGAATGCGCTAATGCTTTTCTCTGCAGACGCCTCAGCTGCTGAAGCAAATGGACACTGGTAGTGGGCAAGGCAGGGGGAAGGCAGAGGAGGGGCAGCAGTGCTGGGAAGCGTTTTCCATATGGCTGCTCTTGAATAATTCCATTCCTGCGTCCTTAAGTGTGGCGCGAGTGAGCCTGCAGTTGTACACGTGGGAGGAAAGGTCAGTGTGGCCTTTTGATCTGCCTCCCCAGCAGCACAGCTCCACGTGGGCTGTCAAGCAAATGCCTCATCGGTCTGCGTGCACTTAGTGGTCACATCTGTGAGGCCTGTAGGATTGTCCAATTACTCGGGGTCCGTTAGTCCCCCCCATCCCTTTGGGCGAAATGGGGCTATCAAAAAGCATGCCTCAGCAGATGGTCAGCATGCAGGCAGGCTCTCTGATGAAGGTGAGCCAGCTCAAAACTTAGATTTGAATTTACTTTATTCTTGCCGCAAATAATTTTATCACAGAATAAAAACCTTTTGATTTTTCTTCTGTTGCCAGTGTCCTTTTTGTGTTCTGTTGCTTCTGTCCTTTTTATTTACTACTTAGCCACTTGTTGAATCAAGGAGATTGTAAAATTTATCAGAGCAACAATATATTTAAGAAGAAATGTGTAAGCATGTGTGCAACAATAAAATAGTATATTTCACTAGATCTGTTCCTGCTGGCCTCTTTGTTACCAGCTCCCTCGGTGGGCTCCTTGTCCCACTCCTGGGCCAAGGGCTTGCCCTGCACCGTCTGGCTTCCAAGCAGGAGGAAAGCGTGCCTCTGCTCTCCTCTCCTGGTGACCTGTTCGTGCAGTCCTGCCAGAACGCGGGTGTAAAGCACCAGTGTGTTTTACTGACTCCTTCCTCTTAGGGTTGAGCTGTTCCATCAGCAGCACGGCGGCACAGGCTGGGTCTGCGTGGTGGTGGGGTGGGAGGTGATGTTCATCTCAAAGCTGCTCTGGGCAGCTCCTGACAGGTAAGTTGTCCCTCCCTCTTGTCACCCTGTGCCTGTGTCACTGCTGACTGGCCATTCCATCCGAGGATGAGGATTTCCCAGCCTCTGTGCTTACCTGCTCCGAGGTGTTCGGTGCAGTCACGGAGCCCACAG